GAGATTGATAGCTGCTGATGAAATAAAAACTAACTAGTCTGCCCTTTTTGATCTGATCTTCCCAAGAACTAAATACAGATGTCACATGTGCCATATGAATATTTTGGACTGGACTATTCATTTGTTCTGGAGTTCTCAAAAAGCAAAATGTGATTTTTTAAAAAATTTTTTATTTTAAAGGATGGTAAGACAAAAGTGGGAACAAACATTTTTCCACGCACCGCCATTGTGAAGGTAGTCACCGCTACTGGGGATGGAAGACAGACACCCCCATTCCCCCTTTTTCTAGTCCTATTGTTTCCCCAGCAGGGCGTTGTCCCAGGGACACTGCCAGACCAGTTTAAACTAGCTTCTCTGTCCCTCCTCAATCTCCCACCAGCCTTTGCTATTGTCTGATCCCACCCTTCCTTGTACTATATTGCTCTATGCACCCTATTGTATGTAAATGGGGCTGTTGTGGGTTTAAATGTGTGTACTATGTCTATTAAAGTGAATTGCTGTTTAACCTTCACCAAGGGTCATCAGGTGTTTAGTCCAGGGTGGAAAAGACCCTCGATGAAGTTTCGGTGACTAGGTCTGAAGTGCTCCAGTGACCCTGTCACCCACAAATGATAAAGAATATCCCAGGAATTCCACACACAATCTAACATATAGTATGTGTGTTTAATTATCATAATATTGCATATGATTTGCATTCTAATACTCCCTAAACAGGGGCCCAGTCTTTAAGAGCCAACTGGCCCCTGTAGTATCAGCCAGCAGGGAGGAAATGACAGACTGTCACTTCCTCCCTGCTTCACAGACAGCTGCCCGGGAGGAATGGAGGGAGAAGGAGGCTAAAGCACACAGCAGCATGGAGGCAGAATAGAGGCTGGAGTGAGCTGCTACTGCATCAGTCTTGGCCAGCGGCAGAACACCAAGAAAGCCACCCCCTGGACATAAACGTTTTTTTACTGTAAGAACAATAAGGATGTGGAATTCTCTGCCTGAAGAAGTGGTCCATACAGATGTTCAAACAGCTACTAGATGCATACTTGCAAAAACAGAATATTCAAGGATATAATCTTTCAATGTAGGGTAATAACTGCTTGATCCAAGGATAAATCTGACTGCCATTCTGGGGTCAATAATGAATTTGTTTCCTAGCTTGTTGCAAAATTGGAAGTGCTTCAAACTGGGGTTTTTTTGCCTTCTTTTGGATCAACAGCAAAAAACAAATGTGAGGAAGGCTGAACTTGATGGACGCAAGTCTCTTTTCAGCTATGTAACTATGTAACTATGTTACATGTAACTATGTAACTAACAGGAGGGTGGCTGCAAATATATAAAGTATGACGTGTGTGTCAGTGTGTGTATGTGCCAAACTGTGTGTCAGGATGTCAGTGTGTGTATCTGAGTGTGTGTGTCAGTAGGTGCATATGTGTTCCAGTGTGTGTATCTGACTGTGTGTGTCAGTATGTGCACATGTGTTCAAGTGTGTATCTGAGTGTGTGTGTGTGTATCTGTGTGTGTGCCAGCATGTGTATCTGAGTGTATGTGCAAGTGTGTGTGTTAGTCTGTGTTTTAATGTGTGTAATCTGAGTGCGTCAGTGTGTGTGTCTGTGTGTCAGCATGGGTATCTGAGTGTGTGTGTCAGTGTGTTCATCTGTGTCAGTGTGTGTGTATCTGAGTATATGTGCCAGTGTTTGTATCTGATTGTGTGTTTCAATGTGTGTATCTGAGTCTGTGTATGCGCCAGTGTATGTAGCTATGTGTGTATGTGCCAGTGCATGTATCTGTGTGTCAAGGTGTTCATACATGTTTGGAGGCTGTGTATTTGTGTTGGGGGATGGGCGGGCACGTTTGGGGACTGGTGCCCTTGCTGGTGAAGCCACCTTCCTGAAATACATTTTTGCATATTGGGATGTCTGGCACCTGTAATGTGCCTTTTGAGCTTAAATAGGCGGTTAGGGAGAGATAATTACTGGGAGCATTGGCCAGTGTCCTATGTAGTCCAGTCAGCATTAATAACAGAGCTAAAAAAAACTGTTATAGAGTGTGTCCTAGCTAGTGCTGTCCTAGCATCTCCAGTGTCTGTATGTCAGTCTGGACAGGAAGTGGAAGGGATCACTTCCCGTCTGCCCATGAGTAATTTCTCACACAGGAAATGCCTTGCAGGGAAAGCTTTCAGTGATGCAAATTGTATAACATCTCCTGCGCCCCTAATATAATCATAATACAGTAAATTCAAACTCTGGGTCTCAAAACCTAAACCTAAAAAAACAACAACCCTAAAGTGACACCCAGACCACTTCATCTCATTGAAGTATTCTGGGTGCAATATCGCTGTCCCCCTTGGTCCTTCAATGTAAAACATTGCATGCTTTCCTTTGGGGAAGGCCTAATGTGCTTGCGGTGATCCCCGCACATGCACATTAGTTGCCCTTGTCAGATGACACTGGAGGAGGTAGAGTAGCAAGCCAGAACAGAGGGATCATGTGCGTGAATAAAGTTTTTTTTACCCTTTATATGCCGATGGGGGGGGGAGGGGAAAGGCGTGAAGGATGGGGGGAACAGAGGTCACTATGGTATTAGAATTACAGCTTTGTATTCCTAGCACTATTGAATCCCTTTAACCCCTTAAGGACCAAACTTCTGGAATAAAAAGGGAATCATGACATGTCACACATGTCATGTGTCCTTAAGGGGTTAACCTAAATCCTATGTTTAACTCCTTTTAAAAGCTAAATTTCTCATGTCCCCAATACAAAATGTAACCCAACTCAAACCCTATACTCAGTAACCCGAAACAGCCATTATACTACAAGCTTAACCCCTCTCAAACTGTTAATCGCATTACCACTATAACATAATAATAATAATAATATTAATAATAATATAACTCTGACCATAAAACCCCATTTACCATAACCACTTCTAACATTATTTTTACCCCTGCATGCATTTGCACAACTTCATACGTTAACGGTTCTCACAAATTTAAACTTAATACATTGCGAGTAGAAATATGCACAATACATTTATACATATACAGTTGTCACATTTTCGAGGTCTGCAATGTCCAGTTAATAAGTCCATTACATTTTAGCTGTATTCTGGGGTTGTAGAGCAGGGGGGGCACCTTAGAATTTTGGGCCTACAGGCAACTTACATGTAAATCCGGTCCTGACAACCATATGACTTTTTGAAGGGAAACAATATTTGCAGGACAGATTTATGTTATATTATTTATTACTCAATGTTGAGACTGGATTTCATAATAAATGTTCATAATTCTGTTCTTCCCAATGCTAGTCACATGTACTTCCACACATTTGTCATATTTAATTCAGACACGATATTTCCCATAATATATTTTCTTTTGAATAAATTATGCGTATTTCATTCTGTCTTTAACTAAATAAAACATTTACTTAAGAGATATCTGTATGCTATTTTTTATGGGAACATGATATGATTTATTAGGGAAACTAAAGTATGGAACCATGGAATTGTGAATGAAACATTGTAGGATATCATGATATTCTTATATTTTACCAAATATCTGTTATTTTAAATTACATGTATAGAGGCATTGCAATTTTTCATTATTTTAAGTTGTATGTTGTCCTTATAGCTGCTAGTTTTACTGGAACTTGCCTGTTGCTTAGTGACATTATTCCTATCTTCCCTTTTTTTGTATTTCTGCACTTTTTATACACTGCATTGAGACATAGATTCAAAGGCGTGTGCACGGGGTGTGCCGGGTGTGCCTGGGCACACCCTAATCCCTGTGGCACGCCTATGTATATTGAGACCAGCAGGGGAGATCTCAGGATCCCCCCTGTCGGCTCATGCAGAGCCAGCGCTATCCAAGCGCCGGCTCTGCTCACAGCCTCCCTCACCGACCCACAGGCAGGGAGGGAGGCAGGAGAGGACCTGGGGGCTTTGTCTTAGGGCCCCCACCCACCGCCCAGGGGTGGGGGCCAGGGGGGAGAACAGTTGGTCCCCCCCTCATTATCTTTATGGCCCCCATCCACCGCTCAAGGGTGGGGGCCGGGGGGGGACATTAGGTCCCCCCATTGTAATTTATGGCCCCCACCCACTGCGCAGGGGTGGGGGCTGGTGGGGGGAGGACAGTAGGTACACCCCCTCATTATCTTTATGGCCCCCATTCACCACTCAAGGGTGGGGGCCATGGGGGAGGACAGTAGGTTGCCTCCCCATTGTAATTTAATGCCCCCACCCACCGTGCAGGGGTGGGGGCCGGGGGGAGGACAGTAGGTCCCCCCTCATTATCTTTATTGCCCCCACCCGCCGCGCAGGGGTGGGGGCTGGGGGGGAAGACAATAGGTGTGTGTCCCCCCTTATTGTTATTTAGGGTAGTAGTTTTTTTGTTTTTACAGTGGGCTGCTCTCTGTTTAGTAGACATGCCCATACTCGTGATATAGCGAGTAGGGGCATTCGGGAGATTTTAATCTCCCTTATGCTAATATGGGGGTCATATTGACCCCCATAGAGTGAGGGAGGACATGGGGGGCTTATGAAGTGGTGGGGAGCACTGCTCCCTGCCGCTTCTATCTTTACATATTACAAGGAGGGAGCTGCATGCTGGTAGCTCCCTCCTTGTAATAAACTGCACAAACAAACGAACATCGCTATTCGGTGTTTGTTTGTTCGTCTAAAATATCCATTCATTTGGCTTTCTGACGAATGAATGAATAGATGAAATTCCGTTCGCATGTCCAGGTGTTTCACTGAGCATGTGCTGGAATCTCACAGGCTATCTAGTGTGGGCAGATGACGTGCCCCACAGGGACTTCATCTATCCACACAAAGATGGCGGCGCCCTGAATATAGATAGGGGCAGAAAATAAAGATGAAAAAATAGGTAATATGGGGGCGTGGCCGGACATCGAGTGCGATGGACGCACACTAAGTGAGCTCCGCTGACTCGGGCTCCTCAAAGCGGCAAAAAACAGCCAAATCGGGTGATTCCCCAGTCCCACACCGCAGACACGATGTCCCAGCACCGGGGGAAAAAAAGCGCGGAGGCAAAAGATAAATCAGCCTTCTTTGCGGCTCGCACGCCGCAGTCTAAAATTGCCGACACACAAATCCAAGATGGCGCCGACCCGGACTTTGAACCGGAACATGACCCCACAGTGAGTAATCCAGACGATTGCCCCCTGACTCAGAGCCTCCTGCAATCCATGCTAGATGGTGCAGTTACTAAAATGCAAGCTACGTTTACAGCAGCCCTCAGTGATATAAGAAAAGGCTTCCAAGAACTGGAAACCCGGACCTCTCATCTTGAGGACACTGTGGGGGGCCTCATGGGAGCCCAAAATGAATATGATACATGCCTCAGCAAAATTGAGGAACAGCTCCATAACCAGGAGACCAAAATAGCGGACGCAGAAGACAGATCACGCCGCAATAATATTCGATTAAGGGGAGTACCTGAGGAAATTGCGCCACACAACTTAACAGCCTTCGCCGTGGAGCTCTTCCACGTTTTACTTCCCGACATTCCCGCAGAAATGTTCCTGCTGGACTGCATACATAGGCTTCCTAAGCCACAACACCTGGCACCATCCACTCCAAGGGACGTCCTCATGAGACTCCACTACTTCCATATCAAGGACCAAATATTGCGAGCTCACCGCAACAAAAAGGACTTACCCACTCAATTCAAAGATGTCCTCATGTTTATGGACCTCTCAGCAGAGACTCTACGTCGCAGACGCTCATTCAAAGCCGTAGCAGACACACTGAGGCACCACCATGTGCCGTACCGCTGGGGATACCCGGCAAAACTGCTCATATCGAAAGGCGGGAAGCTCATCTCAGCATCCACACCAGCAGAAGGCCTGAACCTCTTGCAACAATGGGATATGTCCCTGAATACACAGCCGAATCCCAAGAACCCCAGCAGACCGCCATTTGAAATCGGACGGCGTCAGAAGACGAGACGCACATCTCCAAGAGAAGACTGAACATGCCTATCGGGAAACAGCAAGTTCTTTCCACGTTTATACTGTTATTTACATGTTATACACTAGATTATACTGTAACGATAATGCATGGTTCACAGATTGCTAACACCCTGATGATATGCCTATGAGACCCTCCCATTGGAGATGGGAGCGGCATTAAATGCGTCAAGCGCAATGGGTCTAACTAAACGACACCTCTGTGCTCACTTGTGATACACCCTATCGGTTGCCGACCTCTATGGTCACAGCCTCTACTACCCCAGCTCAGGCCCTTTACTGCCCATACCGGTGCCGGTCGCTCCAACCGACACATGTTAACCGCACAATTGGGCGAGGTGCACCCGACCCACGTTGGGCCCGTAGCGACCTCCGCTCGCCCCGAACCGACCACAACACCCCCCACCTAGGAAGTGCCATAGTTACGGCACATACCCCTACAAGTTATTATTGTATGATACTTTCTTTGTTTATTGCATAACTGTTTATTGTCTTATTTTATTTTATTGTGTTCAACCAAGTCTATCATAGACCTAGTGGTAAACAACACCGACCACTCCACGGAAGCCCGTTACTGACCCACACGATCATCCACACCGGACGCCCTGACAGGCGCCTCGCTCCGTTGAGGCTTAGCCCACCCCCTCCTCCTAACACTACGACATACACACGTAACATACGACTCACAAATACCAGTCACCCACACTAGCCACAGACAATGAAAATAATCACACATAACGTACGCGGACTGAACTCACCCAACAAACGGCACACCCTCCTCAAAGAACTTACTAACTCACATGCAGATATTGTCTGCCTGCAGGAGACTCATTTCAAACATAACTCCAACCCCATTTTGGGACTCAAAAACTTCCCGCACCAGTATCATGCAACCGCCCCTAACAAAAGCAAAGGTGTGTCGATACTGCTAAGTCATACTCTAGCCTTTGACCTAATTTCAGTCGAATATGATCCGAAGGGCCGTTATATCATTCTAATATGCACCTTGAACAACTCAACATACACGCTAGTGAGCTCTTATTCCCCAAACGACAACCAAACGACTTACTTGGCCTCCCTATTAGAAAAAGTGGACAAACTCCAAACAGGAACCACGATCATATGCGGCGACTATAACCACATACTAGACCCAAATGCAGACTCCACAGCTAGACACTCAACAAAACGAAAAAAGACACTACACAAATGTTGCAACTCTATAAATAAGCTTTTGTCAGCACATGGACTATATGATGTCTGGAGAACCCTACACCCAAACGATAAGGAATACACCCATTACTCCCAAGTCCACAATACCTACTCCCGTATAGATGGGTTCCTCCTACGAAACACGCACCTACACCAAATAAAAACATGTGACATAGAAACGTCCTCTATCTCAGACCACAACCCGGTGTCATTAGTCCTTGCAGACTCATACCAATTTAAACACCGAAGTCCATGGCGGTTAAACGAACACCTCCTCAACGACCCCTCATTCCTGGACAAAGTAAAAACCGAACTAACTCTATACTTCACGTGCAACAGTCCTACTGACACGTCCCCCGCCACACTCTGGCTAGCCCACAAAGCAGTCATCCGTGGTATCTTGATAGGCAGGGCGGCATATCTTAAAAGAATCAACCACACTACACTGCTCTCACTCCTCAAGACAGTTCAGGACCTACATAGACTGAACCAAACAAATCCCACGACGACACTCCGACAGCAAATACAAAGCACACAAAACGAAATCAATGCCATTCACCTCCGCAAGGCAACGACAGCGCTGAAAAAACTAAAAGCTACATCCTACTCGAGGGGTAACAAAGCGACGAAACTACTGGCACAAAGACTTAGAGACAAACAAGCCCAAACGAGAATACAATTCCTATGCAAGCCCAACGGACAAAAAATAATTCAGCCCGCTCAGATCTGTAACGAATTCGCCCACTACTATAGCTCTCTTTACAACCTGAAAAACGACCTAAACTCTCCCCGACCCACACCAACGTCCATACGGTCCTACCTCACCAACCTAGCACTTCCCACTATTAACGCACACCAAGCAGCTCAACTCAGTGCCCCAATCACTACAGAAGAAGTCCTTCACCACATAGAGGGAATGCCCAGAGCTAAGGCACCAGGACCAGACGGGTACACCAATGCATACTACAAAACATTTAAACACATACTGGCCCCCCCACTTACCAAGTTCTTTAATGCAGCGACCAACCAGAGCTCCTTCCCCACTGAGTTCCTGTCAGCCCACGTAATCACAATACCTAAACCAGGAAAACCTCCAACTGTATGCCAAAACGTCCGACCAATCTCGTTGCTTAATGCAGACACTAAAATGTACGCAAAAATTCACGCTGATCGACTGAAAACAATATTACCCTCCCTTATCCACACAGATCAGGTAGGCTTTGTGGCAGGTAGACAGGGACCAGACAACACCAGAAAGGTCCTTGACATACATCACCTCCTAAAACGGACCAACTTGGAGAGCATCATGCTCTCGTTAGACGCCGAAAAGGCGTTTGATCGCCTAAACTGGCATTTCCTACACGAAGCCCTGACCTTTTACGGCTTTCCTCCGCCCTTCTTGGCGGTCATTCATGCCCTCTACAGCAACCCCACAGCGACAGTACTAACTTCGGGGTTCTGCTCCCAACCCTTCCCAATAACCAATGGCACCCGTCAAGGCTGCCCACTATCCCCCCTCCTATACGTCCTAGCCCTAGAGCCACTAGCTATAGCCATCCGCAAAAATGATAGCATACATGGGGTACTTATTGGCCAACAGGAGTACAAACTTAATCTATTCGCGGACGACATTTTACTCACACTCACCCAACCACTCATCTCCCTCCCTTCATTACACAAAGAACTACACACATACAGTCAACAATCCTACTATAAACTCAACATTGCCAAGACACAAGCGATATGCTTCAATGTACCCAGGAATACTGAAAATACCCTTAAAGCAAATCACGAATATGATTGGAGAGCAGACTTCTTAACATTCTTAGGCATCAGGATAACTAACAAGACCACTGACCTCTTCACAGCAAATTACGTAAAACTGTTTCGAGAAATTGAAAGACAATTACATAGTTGGAAAAATTTATTCCTATCATGGGTCGGAAAGATAGCGGCTATCAAAATGACGATACTTCCTAAATGCCTGTATCTCTTCCGGTCCTTGCAAATCGAGATCCCACAAAGCTACTTGATCAAGTTGCAAGCAGCCCTCCTCCGCTTCTGCTGGTGCGGTAAACGCCCCAGGGTACCTAAAGCCCTGCTCTTCAAACACACAAAACAAGGAGGTATGGGATTCCCAAACCTCAAAGCATACTACCACGCAGCTCTACTCTCAAATGTAATCAATGCACACACGACACACCAGCCTCCACAATGGGTAGCGCTGGAAAGCCAGCTCTGCATCAACAACGACCTTTCATCCACGCTGTGGACTCCCAAACACGTAAGGCCAAGCTCCAAGGACCTATTGCCCTCCACCAAACTCCTGCTATCCACATGGGACACCTGCAGGAAAAAACTATGCTCGGCTCACCCGTGGGAATTAACCGCCCCGATCAAAACAATACACCACTGCAATGGCACATTCCCACACCGTAAATGGGAAAAAAAGGGCATCACGCACCTATTACACCTCTACACAGCTGAAGGCCTAAAACAGTTCCCAGACCTTCAAACCGAATACTCGCTCCCACCGAACTTCGCATTCTCGTACCTACAATTAAAAGCTCTACTGATGGATAACTCGATCACCAACAGTAACCAGACTTTAAAGACCTCAGCGACGAAATTTGAACGACAATGTATGTCAGCGACACCTCCGAAAAAAGCGCTGTCCACCTGCTACGACGGCCTAGAAAACCCCAAAACAGAAGTCACATGGAAATTCATGAAGGACTGGCAGGAAGACCTCCAAGAACAGCTCTCCCCAAGTGAATGGGAGAAAATATACACAACACACGAAGGTTTATCCTCATGCGCGGCACATTTTGAAACGTCACGCAAATTGCTATATAGATGGTACATGGTACCCTCACGACTACATAACATGTACCCTGACACACCAGACATATGTTGGCGCTGCAACTCACACAGAGGCACAATGTTACACGTGTGGTGGACCTGCCCCACTGTGAACGAACTCTGGACAATGACGGAACATATGATTCAAGATGTTACGGGATACACCTTGCCCCACGAGCCCAAAACAATTCTCCTAAGATCATTCCCTGTCAACATCCCCAAACCAGCAAAAAAAATGATATATATCATATTGAGCACGGTCTCCAACCTAATAGCTAGAAACTGGAAGACCTCCACACTACCCTCGTCACAGGAAATTAAGACTCTGTTGTCAACAACAGTGGATTACGAACTACAAATGTGGAATCAACTTAAAATAGGGAAACTGAGCCTACCTATGGCCGAGATGTGGCGTACCTACCTGTCAACACAGCAGCCACTCCCAAACCCCCCCTAGCCTAATGCGAAAAGAGGCTAAAATGACTCAAAATACTCTAAACCAATGCCACTATGTGTAGCAAAACCTGCTAGCTACTCAAGCGAAGCTATATCACACTTCACGACTCAACTAGACTAAAAACACGGCTCCCTGCCCAAAGATGTCCTCGTCAGTAACGGACCTCACCAAGGTTATACCCACTACCCTAGTTATGATTCCTACCCCCTGTACCCCTCTCCCCCCCCCAAGCCTCGAACCTTAACCACGAGCCCTACAGGGAAACACGAAATCACGCACTAGACTTTTTAAAAGATATCACAAATGGAAGTTGCGAGAGGGCTACCTCATACAAATACAGCCCATGGATCAGGCCCTTAGGAAACGATATCACCAGATATCCTTTACACCAAAAGCGAAGGGAAACACAGGACACCTAGAATAATGTACACACATAACAAACTATAACGTATATTGTGTCAACCCTATATAATTAACATAAGCAATATAAATCGCTACTTACTCTTACACTGCTGAGAAAGACAAAGAGGCCGACCCAAAGAAACATAGAAATAGACGACAGCAGAGACGGTCCTTGATAGACCCCATGATCAAATGCTAATAAGCTGCCTCGGTATACTAGGTATCCCCCGCCAACCATCCAGCAAGATGCCACATAATATAGCAACATAAAGGCATGTTTGATAAAAAGAATCACAGTACAAGTGCAATTTCATGTATATCAATGTTAATGACTTGATTAACACAATGCAATGTTGTACAAACTGCAATTTCGTGACTTAAACCTTTTGTCCCCCCTCTCCCTCTTTACTTTCTGTACCCCTACCCTTTTATATGACAAAACAATAAAAATTGTCAAATTGAAAAAAAAAAAATAGGTAATATGGGGGGCTTAGGGGCATTTGGGGGTGACTATGGGGTCAGTTAGATGTAGTGAAGGTGGGAGGGGGGTTAAAAAAAAAACCTGCCATGACATTGCCACTTTAAACAAAATATTTAAACATGTAAATACTATAAAAATGATGTCAGATTAATTTAAGAAATAGTTCATATTTTGATTGAAATATGAAGATGAACTGGACAGCCCAATCATTCATATATTCATATCATTATCATTCATATCATTCAGGAAAGTCTACTTTTTCCAATGTATATGATAATCAGCGATAATCATATATTAATTGAACTTGATTATTATTCCATGTCAGGTTTATGGCAAATGATGTTAGAATAGGACATTAAAATGTATCTTATTTTGTTAATATTTAAAATATGGTAATCTACTTAACTACTATTTA